ATTATTATTATTATTATTATTATTATTATTATTATTATTATTATTATTATTATTATTATTATTATTATTATTACTATATATTTTTTTTATTGTAATCTGTAGAATAGTTTTAGTATAAGTTCTTTAATAATATATTTTGGTATATATTAGGTAGAGTCGAACATATATTTGGGTAAAGTCAAATGATAAAAGATTTTTAATTGAAAAGATTTCCTGTAAATAGGTTTCATCCCTTGTTTTCTTAATCGAAAATAAATATCAATTACATACGTACATATGTATATATGTTTCAAAAGCAAATCATTACGTACAATAATGAGAATTTTTTTATTTATTTATTTATTTAATATTGACTCGGATTACAATGACATAATAAGGTAGCATTAAGGATCTAAACTAAAAAAGAATAAACTAAAACTCACAGAACGTTTATTACGGTAACATATGATAAAGGGACAAAGATAAAAAAAACAAAAAGGGTCCAGGATGAATGGCGTAACATTATAAATCGTATGGGTAAATGTTGCTTATCCAAATTAATCAGAAAAATTTTACATGCATGTAAATGTTAAATTATATTATTATTACTGCAAGAATAAAAGATCTATCTATGCATAAAAAAGGGATAATTACAGTTTGATAATTTAATAAATCAATTTTAACAAGTTAAAATAAGAATTACAAATTTTTTCAATATAAAATTTAATGGATTATTTTAAAAATTGATCATGTTTCTGATATTTCTATTTTAAATTTCAAATTTATAAATGTGTCTCGTGCAGAAAATTGGTTTAATAACGCACATGGGAGCACTAGAAAATAACCGAAATGACGCGCTGGTGATCAAAAATAACTCGTAGTTGCCCCTCATTTTGAAAAATGTAATTCTTTTGGCTAGCTTACAAGTTGACAAAAGAATTTGTCCATCAACAAATGAAAATGTGTGCAATATCTAAGCATCGTCTTTTAATGATTGCCAACGTTAAAAGATTATTGTATATATTAATTGAATAAAAAAAATTTAATAACAACAGGAAGGATGTAAATTGAAATAAACCTAGCATATATAAGCTCGAGTCGCGCAATAACCGAAAATTTTCTAATGTAGATACCGTCTACTTCTCTAATCTAGATAATTTTAATTTTATTTTACAAGTCATTGAATTACGAAAAAGTCAAAGTCTTTAGAATAATTAACTACATAGTGTTGTATTATCTATGTATTATCTATGTATTATCTATGTATTATCTATGTATCATTTATGTACCTTGAGATCTAGATAATACTGTTCAAATTGACGCTTTAAAACAAATTAGGTTCTGCAAGTTCCGGGTACTATTAAAGCATAGTGCCCAGGCCCATGCCCGTCATTCGCAGAACCCTAATATTATTTCATAAATATGCACTGAATCAATATTAGTAAATAATGTTCTTTTGTGAAAAATAAAGGAAAAAATAAAGAGGAGTGCCATTTGTCACATAATCTTTAATTACTTAAAAAAAAAGCTTTACCTATTCATGCATCTATTCATGTATCTATCCATATATCAATCTATGTATCTATTCACGTATCTATTCACGTATCTATTCACGTATCTATTCGTGTATTTATTCATGTATCTATTCATGTATGGTGTCATTAATCAAATCTCATCGAGAATTTCTTTATTTAAATGAATATGAAAGAAATACAGGTGATAACCGAACTGGCCTCATGTATGTATTAAGTGGCAGAATTTCCTCATTCTCCCCAATACTAAAAATTACACATTCTTTATCGATTCAAAAAAAGAATTATTTTTTTTTAAAAAAAAGAAATTGGTAGAAACTTCTAATAACAGGAGAATGAAATTTTAAAATCATATGAAATACATGAATTTTTCATAATCCGAGTTATGTAGTACTTTATGAGTTCCCGAACCGTGTTTGAAAGAAATTGCATATGAATAAAGGGCGTATTTTTGTTTGCTCCTTATTAACATTTAACAAAATTTAAGAACTGTTGTATGTATGACTTGCACGAAATGGTAACTATAAAAAAAAACTATACATATGTATCGGAATTTTTTTTTTCTTCCCTGCTATGTATTATTTTTTCATTGTCAAATTTAATCGACAACTCATATAAATTACATTTCCAAAACAAAACCATTATTTTTGTCACCCCTTATATGTATATTATAATTTGCCAAGTAACTACACTTCAAGGAGACATCAGATTATAATCATGTTCCAAGATTGTGAACAAAAACAATTTCGTATTATTAGAATAAAGCTATGAGTTTATCTTTGGCTTTTGCTAAGAATCGTGAAATATTTGATAAGCAATAATACGCATTTACTATTATTTATATATGTATATATATACATCTATATCGACATATTATATACTATATTAGACAAGTTATACAAATTATATATATAATATAATATTTTTTATATATATAATTTGTTATTTGTTAATCATTTGTTACATTTACAATGTTCGATATTATACGTACCAATTTTTTTTTAAAAAAAATTTATTATATCAAATTATCACGCCATTTCGATTCTTTATTACAACCGTTTGCAAGTTTACCCAATTACTCCGATTTTTAAAGTTTTATTCATGCACCAGGATCAGGGACAGTGAAAAATATCGAATTTTTAATGCGGTGTAACAATACCACTTCGGGCAAAATTAAGTATATAATTTTGGCCGGACAACACAAATTTGGCCAACCTGAATTGCCGGAAAGTTACATTACTGATCACGTTATATTATGTTACACCAAATCGTGAATTCTGATTGGCTAAACTTGGTAAATCGATATTTTTGACTACATTTTACCGATCACATGGTTATTGACGTTAATGTAACCGGAAAGTCTACGGACACGTGCCAGTCACATGACTATACCCTAACTAAATGTTATGGACACGTACCAATCACCAATCTTAGTTTAGGGTACGTGTGATTTCACGTGACTCATACGTGTCCGTAGACTTTCCCTAATGTAACACTTGCCTTCATCATGTGATCGGAAAATCTTACGTATACATTCGCGTTTGTTTCTTATTAACATGGCATTACATTTGAATTTAAATATTATTTACATCTTTCAAATTCTATCAAAATTGATTTTTTTCTCCTTAAAATTCAATATTCTACCAACATTATGTTTTTCAAAATAAAATGCAATATAATAATTACGATGTAAAGTGAAAAAAAAAATATCAAATGGGTCAGTCCGTAACGTTATGAGTATTCGGGTAAAATCCCTTAAATTGAAATATCGACGTTCAATCAATTTCAATAAGTAAATTAAGATATTAAAATCTTTGAACGGACAAAACTTGCACTAAAGGTAGAGCATCTGCTCAAGAATATGACCCAATGAATTATCAAAGTTTGATTAAAAGAGCCGAGTAATCATAACGGTACGGACTGACCCAAATGTTAACTTGTTTTAACGTTAAGGTTGTGTAAGGTTGGGGTAAGGTTAGGGTTTTAAGGTATGCAAAGCATAGTTTATACCAAATCTTATACCAAATTTTATATGAAATCTTTCTAAAAATCAAAGATAAATGATTTCATAATCTAAATTTCCAATTTTCCGAAGAAAGTAATAATTCTCATTCTGATTTGCTTATGTATACCGATATTCCTGTACAAATAGAAATTGCCTTTAAACTAAATATATACCAAATTAAAATAATTAAATCTATGAGTTATTATCCTCAAGTCAAAATAAAACGATAACTAATTATTAATAAAGTATTGGTTGGTCTATAGTGCTTTTCAAATTACTGTGTTCAAGTTTTATACATCACATATTATGCGGAAATCTGGATACTAACCTTGCGATTGTTAGAAATTATATTAGTTCGGTTTTATATATTAATATTAATTTCTAAGATTTCTTAATAATAACCCGAAAATCTCAATTCTTAAGTCCATTCTCGAATTTTACTAATATGTAGAGTTTGAAAATAGTTTCGAACTATAAAGGTACTTTCGCTCAAAGTTTGTGTAAATTGTAAATTTAGACAAAAAAAAAACAAAAAAAACCGAAATTTTTTATTTTGCTTGATAGCTAACTACAAAATCTATTATACAAACAAATATTATGCTATAATAATTAAAATTTGACGGGAAATAATTGGAATTGTTATGTTTTTAAATGGGAATTTCAAAATTTCTGTGATAGGCGATCATCTGATGATCACAGTAATTTGAATAGCACTCTAAAAATCACCTTTTCTTCGTGCTAATGCTGTGAATTATTTATTACTCATTCGTTCTATCTTTTATTCATTCGTTCTACCTTTGATGCATCTAGTTCACTCAGCGTTGAACCTATAGGATTTAATAATTGTGAATTCGTAGAATTTCCAACAAGAACATTGACATTTGATGATGCTATGGCTTGATTTGGTGTTAATGAATTTGGAATCATTGATCCTATTTCACCCATATCAACTAAATTCCTACGATTTGGCATGATTCTTCCATCTGACCATTCAGTAAATGGTTGTGCAGTAGACATATCACCTATCATGGAATAATCGTATGCAAATTGATTATTATTGTTATATAATGTCATGTCTTGTGAGAAATATCCTTCTTCATTAGCGCCTTCCCCACTTTCTGCACTCCTTGAGAACCTTCTTAGAAACCCTGGTGAAACTGAAGGTGATCGAAGAAAATTTGTCCATGAATCACCTATAAATGGATGATCCAAATTATATAAAAATCGAGATGATATAATTTGATCAGGAAATGCATTCATAGATGTATTATTAATTATATTAACGTCTGTTGTGTTAATTGCACTATTCCAATAAGCCATGAGTCCTGCATCTGACATTATTTCACTCTCATTTTGTAAAGACCGTTTATTTCCAGATGAAAATGATTCCGAAGTAGGCAAATAAACTTGATCTTTTTTCATATTTCCCAATATACATCTCAATTTTTTAGCAGTTGCCCATAATGCCCCCATTTCCTCCAAATATTGTTCTGAAATTTTTACATTTTCTTTTGCGATATTAACAATTGTAATATCTTCACTATTCATCTGACATATGTAAATTGTTGCAATGACATACATAGGATATGTGGTAAAAGGACATACACATGGACTGCTGATTTTAAGAATATCAGAAGCAATAGAACTAACTTGTTTTGCTGCGTTATAACAACGATCATAAGATAAATGATAGAATTCGTTTGGGATTGCCTTAGATTCACATTTCCGTGCTTTTACGATTGCTCGATTAAGGACAACAACAGCCGTAAGATAAAATAAATGAATTGCAGCGAAAGCTCCTGCCCTATCAACAGCTATAAACTCAAGCATTCTCTCACGGGAATAAGCATAATTAGGTAAGACTGACTGATACCAAATCTCTAAATCTTTATGCAACATAGAGAATTCTGACACTGGATCCCAAGGTGATAATGCATTTGCTGGTCTTGAACGGTTAACATATGAGCATATACGACCTAATAAAGCGACAGCGCTGAAAAAACAAGCACTAATTCCACTTGTAGCTAACGTAAATGAAGAACCCTGTTTAGTGTAATTACTATTTAGTAGTTCATCAATTGCAGGGCTGTTATAAGGATTTTCCAAGTCCCAAATTGATTCAATGCAAGGAAATCTAACATCACAATCTTCTTCTTGAATAATTGATGGCCTCCCTAAAGCACATGATGAAAATCTATACAGTGAAAAGAATTTTAAATATTTTAAAAATATTTTAAATATTTTAGATATTTTAAAAATATTTTAAATATTTTAGATATTTTAAAAAAATTTTAAATATTTTAAAAATAGATATTTAAAAATATTTTAAATAATTTAAATATTTGGTGAAATAACTTATGTTGCCAATTAAGATAATATAAAAATACCTATCAAGCACGAAACAAGACCAAAAAGTACGTCTTTTTGTTTCTTTAGCTATAAATGCGTCTTCAGAACCTTTACAATCAGGTGAAGAATTCGATGTGATGTCATCAATTTTATGTAGACCTAATGAATGTGCCATTCTAATATAAAATATTCAATCACGATAAAGTAAAAATTTATAATATTTGATAGCATAAATTTTAAATAGAATTTAAATTTTAATACCTTATAGCTATACCAATATACGTATAAGTTTTTGATCCAAGTGCTGAACCATATCCATATAATGCAAGCAATAAAAATGCTATTTTCAACGAGAAATTAATTTCAAAATAAATTGAAATCAAAATTAAAGTTAAAAATCATCATGATTAATAATACCTTGAATATTTTCAAGACAAGCTGTGTCTAATGCTTCTAATAAATATTTGTTTGCTTGAGTTGAATAAGGCTCACCAGCAAGATAAGCTGGATCTCGCCTGATATTCGGGTGATCGGAAAATCTAAACAATGTAATACGATGATGGTATACGTAACAAAATATATCAATGTTATAATATACATATTAAAATGAATTGCAAAGACCGAATTTTATAATTTACAATTTACCTTGCACTCACAGAGCACATAGCAAGGATTAGGAAAGGTGAAACTTTATTTTGTCGTAGTCGGCGCATAAAAGTATGTTGATGGAACATTGCCATATTTCCACCAACATGTCGAAAAAAACATAAAGCTAGATGTTCAACAATATCCTCTGTTGGTAATCCATTTGATACAAACAATACTGAACTTGGAATATGTGATTGAAAACTAATGACTGAATTGGTTGGAATTGAACATAGACCTTGCTTTTTATATCCTGGATGCACCGCAGTATTGCCAAAAAACATAAAATCATTCTCTTCTTCTATCTTTATAGGTTGACTATTCGACAAGTTACGATCACCTCTTACCGATTCAATCATAGGTGAAATATTTTTATTCCTAAATTGACTTTGTTGTGACCGTAAAGGCTGCGAAAATGAGTCAATAAATTCTACTTGTTCATTATGACCGGCAGGCGTTTGTTTATTAAATTGGGATGGCGGTGTGGAAACATGAGTTTTTATAGTTGAAGTCATGAACTCTTGAGACTGTTGATGAAGTTTAGGCATTGTCGATGTGGCCGAAGAATTTGGATCAGAAAATAATTGATCATCATGGTCGTTACTAGTATTAGAATCAATAGAATCAATAGAATTAAGACGAGATTTTTTAGTTGGACTAAGTGATTGATCATCGGAATCATCTACAAGTCCTTGTTCCTTAAGGGGTTGTAAAAGTTTCTCCATTTGTTGAAGACGCTTTTCTAAACTTTCGACTAATCCAACTCTTGGACCCCTTTTTCGTGTACTTGGTAGGTATGTACAAGAAACATTGAGTCGAGTACAATTATTACAAGATGGTTTTTCGCCACTACATTTAACTTTTTTCTTTCGACACGCGTCACATGCTTGAGTTAAACGTTTACGTTTAACAGGAGTTCCAGCGTTATCACTATCTTTATCACCCGCACCATCTGAATTATTATTAACATCAGCAGTGAAATTAAATTGATTTATTGAAGTTGACATTTTTTTAAAAAAATGTTGAATGCCTTCTCTGTGAATTATAAAATTAACAAGAAAAATATTCCGAAATAAAAATATATATATATATATATAAGGAAAAGTTAGTAATGATTCTTTCAACAGGTCACGTGAAGCTATTACAAATTCTACATCTAAGCCTTCTTGATAACATTATAAAAAAAATACCGGATAATTACTGTAATATCAGAAAAAGTTCTAATAACTAATCCTCTAATATTATTGCTATAAATACGAGCGAAAAAAAAACGCAAAAAAAAAAATATCAAGACTTAATCATCCAAGAATATTTTTTATAAAATTAAAAATGTTTTAAATAAATAATGATGTTGTATCTTTTAACATATGAATACAGTTGTTTTTAATGAGATAAAGTGTTAACAATTTGTTAAGAAAGTGTGGAAACAGGGACGGAGAAAAAGATACCCGAAATATATAATTCTCTGTAGGTGAACTTTAAATAAAAAAAGTTTAAATAAGAAAAGATCAACCAGGTAAGGTCTCACATAAAAAAGATTTGTCAAATCGATATTTGTCATCGATAAACTGTGTATTAGTAATGCTTATGGCGCAGCAAACGTAACTGTCCGATTCTATTTTTCCAAAAAAGTAAATTTTGTTGCTTGAATAAACCCAATTAGTTAAGAGATAAAAAAATCATTTAGAAGTTATCGAAGAATCTATTTCAAAAATTTAATTACATTGAAAAGAAATGAAAGCGTTAAAAAATAAAGAGGAACTAACAAAGTATTAGGAAAAAAAGTAATAACTGATCCAGTTTACATACGTAGTTGTTTTATAGACTAGTTACTTTAAAATTCTCATGAGTCATACTTGTCATTATTTTTTAGACTTCGTATTTGTTTACAAAAACATAAATCAATTTGACTTTATTAGGGAATGCAATAATAATTGCAATAAATTCAATAAATTGAATAAATTGCTAATTATCGTTATGCATTTGATCCATAATACCGTATTCCTCCGAAAATAAGCATCCTTTTTTGCAGGTAATGCGGGCCACGATTATTGTAAAGCGGGCCAAAGTTGTCATAGTGTAGGCCAGAGGTGCTTATTTTTAATATATACCGGGTGTTTCAAAAGTTCCCTTTTTTTTAAGTGACTTATATATATATGTTACTTTAAAAAAAAAGGGACCGTGTAGTGGAACTTTTGAAACACCCGGTATATAAGAAATATAAAATAATATATAGTTATATATTCTATATAATTCAAATAATATATAAATTTGAAATGTTAAAATTATGATCTAACGGTACACATGTTCGAAATTAAATTATTCCGGACTATTATGACTTATCTGTTATCGTTTATGTTGTGACTAATTTTGAATAAGCATAAATAGGTTCGGCAATATATATTTCCCCACGGGATACAAATCTCCCGTATCTGTTAGCCAATAGCGAGCCACGATTTAGTGTAACGTAATACAGTAACGATTGAGAAAACAAATGTCTTCAAACAAAAAAAACCGCGTACTAAATTTCTCTTCGTGCTTTAACAAAAAGTTTTTCTTGTGCAAATTTACTATATATTCTTTCTATTCCAAAGCATTATAATAACATAAACAATTTTAGGGAATTGCTTTGAAACATACATGTCATTCTGGTTATATCAACAAAATATCCAGATGTTGGTTTAACCAGAGGCATTCTCATATTAAGCATATAGATTCAAAATTTTTTAAAATTGACATTATAACTAGATAACTATATGTTGTATACAGATGTCGATATAACCAGAGTGACTGCAGAAGATGCCTATTATTATTATTATTATTATTATTATTATTATTATTAGTGGATATGATTGTTTTGTAAAAATTAAGTTAAAAAGTGTAGTAACTTAATATAACGGTGAGGATGGCGATACTCAGAATTAGTATTTTACATAATTGCATAATAAATGGGATGGTAACACATTTCACCGATTAAATCTTTCGCATTTGCTTCTCTAAAATTTACCTTTTACCTGAGAACATCCGTATCTTACTCGTTTTTTCAACTCCATCCTCTATGCTGTCAACTCGACTTCATTTTCCTTAATTCATCCAGAGATTGCTTACTTGCTTTCCAATAAGAAAATACAGAGGCGGAAGAGTATGCGAGGCTAATTATTTTCGTTGAAAATGTGTTCCTTGAAGCTTATATTAAAAATTGCAAAGCTGTGGGAAAACTTCTGTTAAAATTCGTTTGATCAATGGAAAAATCGTAACTTATGAAATACCTCTCTCAGCTCATGGGGCAGTAGCAAGCAGAATCTCTAACTTGATATATGTCTAGAATAATCAAGTATATAGCATACAAGATCTTTTTGTTGATTGAATAGTTACTACACAGCTGATCTTATGAGGCCTTTCTCGATCTCAAGTTAGTCACGAACCTAACTCAGAAAGGAGAGCATACCTAACAATAGTTGTTAAAATTGGCAATAGTAAATTCATTTCTAGCTTACATGGTCTTTCAACAGGTTATTTTCTTCACGAGCAACTATTCAAATTTGCTTTGCTATCAAACTATTTCCTATGCGTCAGAATGGTACGAGGGTAATGCTTGCACTGCGTTACCTACATACAAATCAATATCCGATGGTGCCAGATGTTTTGGCACCTCTCCATAATAATACAATAGATTTTCTTTTGAACAATAAGGGTGTTCCAAATGCTAGCATTACTTGCGTATTGCCGCTGAATTTTTCAACGGTGCTTCTAACAGCATATCTTCCGAGTTCAATCTGGATTTATGGGAATTACAAAATATATAATATTGAATCTTAAGACTATAGTTGTATATACGTTATGCATGAAATTAGATTGAAAATTGAATTGGTGAAGCGTAAGGTTAATACAGAAGATTTGTGCCAAACTAAATTGATAATTTATATGGATGAGATGTATATTAAGAAAACCAAACTCTCGACTTTCAAATTTATAACTTGCCAGACTCAATTTTCAGATTTTTTAGGGTAAGGTTTATGTTTAAAAGCCGAAGATGAAGCCCGGTTTTCCTTGAGCATATTCATACTGTATTATACATGTGAACAAATATTTCGACTTTTGTTAAAAGCTATTACAGCTTATATTGTAACTAGTTTTGAATAAACCGAAATAGTTTCTGCCGTAATACTCTAATCACATAACAGATAATAATTTAATGACATTAAAGCAGATTATCATTCTGCTTAGCGTTGCACTTTTAACTGTTAAAATATTATCTAATTTCAAGTATTTAAACGATAACTAAAAGTAGAGAAGTACATTGTGCAAATATTAATAAAAAGAACTTTAATTTGTCATAGTTCTTATTCGGTAGTGCAAAATGCATGAATATTTCAATGATTTACAATAAACTGGCGTTAGTTTGACGCCACTATAAACAATAAATACATGTATGAGACTTAACAATGTATATGTATTACAAAAATAATATACGTATTCAAGATTTTTATTCCTTAATAATTACAATGTAATTCATTATTATCCATATCGATATGTATTTAAAATTTAACTCGAAGATGCTCCGGAATAACCATATATGGGTTTTCGTAATACCAAACATATCTTAAGACAATCCACAGTTTTTCACCGAGTTGACAAAAATTTTTTTAAACCTATGAATTATACTATCTCAAAAACTGGCTAATTAGTGTTCTAAGTAAAAATGTTCTACGTATGCCTAAATACTAACTCTAATAGTAACCCTAACACGAAAAATTTTGCGTTAAAATTTTGTATACAAAAACTTAGAAAATCTATACATGACATATGATAGGTGCCAAATCACATAGGTGCGTTTATAAGAAATGTAAAATTTTTTAGTTGGATCCCAAAAATTTATAAAAAAATGTTCCAATATTAACTTTTCTTTAAAGAAGCTTTTTTAAAAATTTGATTATTTTGATTTAAAGTTTCTAAAACTATTTGTATGTTTTTACTAATTCAGTAATATGACATATCGATATATCGATATATACTAATCCGAAATGTTTGCCCAATTAGCTTCACAGATCATCTGTAGAGTAGTTGCAACACCAGTGCTCACCACTCCGCAAGGCAAGAGGTAAAAGAACTTCCTGAATATTATAAATTTATGATTATATATCGTAAAAAACCTGGTTGATTTATGCCCTAACGGAGTGTCCAGAATTACGGATAGTTAACAAAAATTGAATATTTAAAAAATAAATCGTGGCTAAATGGTATTATAAAAAATAATTTAATGCATAGCAGAAATTTTCAGCAGTTAGTATTATTTTTCTATTATGCTGGAATGTAGCTAACTTTCCGCCGATTTTTATTATGAAATTTGTATACTTAAATTGCGATCTACCACTTAAACATTTATGATACGAGTGTTGTCACTGGAAGACCACTGGAAAGCCACTGGAAATAAAATCAATAGTGTCACTGGAATTTTAGTTCCAGTGACAGTATTGATTTTATTTCCAGTGGTCTTTCAGTGACAATACTGATTAATAATGATACGTATAATATAGTTTTTTGTATCGAGGTAATTATACAGAAGTAACATCTTAGTATATTAAGTATTGCCATTAAATTATCTTAAATAACATATAATTTTTAAATGGTTCAATCCATCTTAGAACATTGACAATAACAATTTTACCCTATTATTAAACGTGTTAAATGATTGATTATGCCATAATTCTTATGATTCCGAAATTTTTTATAATAATAATAATAATGACGACCATGTGGATTACATAACCAGAATTATATAATTTTTTTTTTTGTATAGTCTTAAAGTATTCTTATTCGGTCATTCAAAGATTTTCAGAAAACTTGCTCGCGTCAGATGAAAAGAACAAAAAAAATTAAAGTAATCATATAATCAATATATAATTAATTGATATCATTAAATGCTAATTTATAATGACCACCATTATTACTTACTAATTTCGTTTTATACCTTATAGATCATAAAAAAAAATTAATTAAATTCCATATATTTAAAATGTTTAATATAATTATAGATCATAAAGCTTTAATATTTATTATGTTTGCTATTACGTAAAGATACCAAGTAATTTTATCAAAAATCTATACACTAACTAATTACTAATGAGTGAAGCAATTACTAAAACAAATAAATCACCTCGACAAAGAAATTTAATTGAAAGTTTATAAAATTTAATTTCACCAATTGGCTCTTCTTCTGGCCCTTTCACTTCTGATAAATCTCTTTTTCCATCCCATCTTATTAAATTGTGCTACTTTCCTAGCTTCAAGTATTTCCCTTCTATCTTTTGATAAAGGAGCAGCCTGTCCAACAAATAATGGACTACATTGAAACTTTTTTGCCAATTCATTACATGTCCACTTTTCAGGATTTGAAAGCCTTAATTCCCTCATTTCATTTATCTCATCTTCAGTAAGCTTGCGATGATTATTTTGTTTTGGTGGTTTAAGTGGCGGTGGTAATTTATCCATTGCAATCGTTGGTTTAGCGAGAGGAACTCGTGATACGAACTTACTTCCATCATCAAGAATTGTTTCATAATAAATCGGTGCATGTAATTTTGAGGGTTTAATTGGTTTTCTGGCAGTATATAAGCGATTGATTATCTGGTATTTAAAAGATATGATATTATCACCATATAATTTTGTCTTACCAAGTCTTGTGAATAACATTTTAAAAAAAACAATTTAGTTTATGTTTAAAAATAGCGACAGATTGATAATCAAAATTATAATGCATGTGATACGTTCATGTAACACAATATATTATAAAATCTGTGCTAATCTACAAATCAGATTTTGAATGACAAAAAGTTTTCACTGCGATATTACTTAGCCTTATACGAAACGCTAACCCTAACATTAATGAACTTCAAAAGTTTTGTCTACGTTATACACGATAATCTGCAATATGCATAACCGAGCACAGATTTTTTAAATACAGTTTATCAATTATTAATTTTTTTATGATTAGTTCTTTCATGATTTGGGCTAGATGCTGGGAAAGGGACCAAATTGACTAAAAATAGATTTTGCGAAAATTTGATATTTATATTATAAAATCTATATTAATTTATAAAAAAATAAAGATTTCAAATAAAGATGCTTTTTTTTAGTTTCTAGAAAACATAAAACTTTTATTACAGAAGTTTGCAAAAACAAGAAAATTAAGTTTGCTAGAAATTTTTTTATAAAAATAACTTACAAATAACAAAGAAAACATTCTCTTTAAAATAGAAACTATAATAACAAAAAGTAACTAAATAAATTCAACTAGTTTTATGCAATAAAACATCTTTAACAATATATTTAATTGAAATAAACAAGTCTTATAAAAAAGTAAAAAAAAAATTTGAAAAAAATAACTAAAATAAAAAGATAGTTATGTTTGATTATAAGACATATACAAAACAATAAAAAAAATATAAAAATAATAATAACATGCATAAATTCATTTAATTTATTGTTAATAAACTTTAGATCAACTATGTAAAAGGTTAAAATAATAATAGTCAAATCTAACATACAGGACAAACTATAGTACTTTGTATAGCTATAAAAGTCAAGCATATGGTAATTAATCCTGTAAAAGACAATCTTAAAAGATCATTTTTAATATCTTTAAGATCCTATAATCTTCATACATATTTTAAAAAATTTCTTCTTTATTACAACTTATTATTTTTTCTTTATAATTAAACTATATAATCTCTTATATAATATATTGACAAACATAATTATAATAACACTGTCATTATTATTATTTTTTTTGTTAACAATATCTATTATAAAACTTATATATATTTTTCTAATAATTTTTTTTTGCTAATTATATTATTATTAACTCTTATCTTCTTTCTATTTTCTAAATTTTCTAATATTATTTTTATTCTATCTAATCTATTTCTTAATAACTATTTTTTTTTTAAAAAAAGTGAGTCTTATTCATATATTTATTAAGTAATTTATAAAATAGTAACATATATGCAATATATATGTTTCTACTATTTGTATTAGTACAAATAAAAAGAATAATTATATGCAAGAATAAAAGATTAAATAATTAAATAAATCTAATTTATCTGTAACTAAACCTACTAGAGCAGTTAAAAATTTACCTATATAATATCATTTATAATTAAAATAAAGTTAGAAGTTGTGTGATACTTGATTTACAAAGTGATCCAAGTATTAGACAAGTTCCAGTATATAAATAGAGTTGATCAAATTGATCACAAAAAAAAGAATATATAAAATTATAATAAGTATGTATATTATTTCTATTGTAGGAAAATAGAGTTTGTTGATTAGTATATGTATATATTATTTGTTGTTGTTTTTTTCAATTTGAAAAATTAATACAATAGGGTTTTCATAATTGTTCATAGATTTGTTTGTTAATTTTAAGCAGAATCTTAATTATAATTATTAATACTAATTTGTATAGAACTTCTAGGTCCTAAATAGTTTTAATTAAAGATAAAGAAATAAAACCTTTAAGAGTAATTTCTAAATAGTGTAAAAATAAATAAAGAGGTGTTTTTTTGAAAGCTAAGTGGTTTTTAATTTTTTAAATAAGTTTTTTAGTTTTATTATTAGAGAAGTCTAAATTGGCTAAGTTTATACAGTTAGTTATTGCATTAGAAATAATGCTATTAAGCAAAGAGGAATTGGCACAAATGTATCAATGTAATAGTGATATAATTGAATTGCAATAAAAGCAATTGGCAGCATAAAAAGTTAAAGGATAGATTTTATGATAGAGGTATTAAGTAGATAGTTTATTAAGAAGTATTTTAATTTTAAATGATTTGAATTAGTTCAGTTTAAAATTAGTAAAGTTGTAAGTAAATTTTTAATTATAATTAAAGTATAGCCAGATTGAATTCCAGTCAATATAGTAGACTAATAGAGTCTATTTATCAATTCATTTTTATAATAACTATAGTGCAAGATTGTAAACTTTACAAATACTTTTAACAAAGTATCTGATAGGAAGTTCAACAGAAAATTTTTCTGGTTCAAAGAATAATAAATAATATAAATTGTAAATATTTGTATAGTTAAAATATTATAGAGCTTTATTTGTATATTGCTTAGTAAGTAAGTCTGCTAAATTGTTAAAAGTATTGTCTAAGTGGGTTTAAATTTTATGAAAAATAATATTTAATTTGTATAATTTAATAATATTTAGTAAGGTATACTATAATGACTAGAAGTTAAATTTAAAGAGTTTATTAATATTTAGAAATAATTAATTAAGTTGGATAAATTTTGATATTATGAATTAGAAATCTGTGTAGATGTTAATTATAGAATTTTAAGAGGTTATTGAAACAGCAAACAGAATAAGAAAGAGTTTAGTCTTGTAAGAGAATGGTCAGAGATAGATTTTGGTAGTGAATTTGTGGATAATTTGTTCATTAGAATCTACTTGGACCTAGCCAATATCCATAATACAATTATTTGTACTTATACCAATTACTAAATTATCAGTATAGAAGTTAACTAAGTTATTTTTATTTTTATTTTTTTTATAGTTAAAGTCCTTATCTTAGGAGATGCAATGTTTTTATTTAAGTATATTAGGACACAGCATGCCACCAAGAGCTCATCTTATATTGGAGGTTACAACTAGCCACATGTGCACTTTTGGTGCCTAATTTAAGTAGTCTGCTTACATATTACTATATAAGTTCTACACTAGTTGCTATACTTGCAAGCCAACTAGGAGTCTTGCCTATTTAAATCTTCTGCATATGCAGTTCTCCTTGTATTATGGGAACATCTCAAGGTGCCACCCATCCAAGTTCCTGATGCTTATCATTACCCTTAAGACTACTTTATTCTCGATAAGAAACTTACTAGAGCCTTTATATTTCACATATATAGACCTAGTTTTATGCAATATGCTATAGTTACCTAATACTTGCAATCACAAGAGTTACCTGTTTAACTGCTACATTACACTATTTCTATTCTTGTAAAGTTCACTAGAACCCCAGTATCTATCTTTCTGGCATCTTCTTTATTATTTTCTACTAGCTACAACTCAGAACTATTAGTCTCATTCCAGACTACCAATTCAGATGGCCCGGTATGATATACTTCTGTATTCTTTTCCTTCAATAAACCTGGCAGCCTGGTTGGTTATATGCTCCTCTACACATATTTGCTATCTGGTTTTAATCTTTAGTTCTTATGAAAGTGTTTTATAGGCTTCAACTGATCTAATAGTACCATTAAAAGTTCATGCTACCTCTTTACTTGAGAATTTCCAAGTAGGTTTCTGTTACCTTTGTTCCTTAGTTATGCCTGATAGTCTTATCATGAGTTTGCACCAAAGTTTTATGCAATACTGGTTAACATTTCTCTATATACATGTAATGTTACACTTTATATAGATGCCTGAGCTTTCAAAATTGGGAGGATCCAACCTGGTGTATCTGGGTAACAACCACATGAGGCCAACTGATTGACAAGAGACAGTTACTATAATGCAGATATAATTTTCAAATTTTGTCATAAGTGGGATTTGAACCTTAGACCTGCCACTTAGAGGATAACAACCCAATTACTACACTAGAATCGTCATCTTCTATTAACTAAATTATTAGTAAGTTATTAGAAGATATTTAATTAAATTTATTAATTATATTACTTGCTTCAAAAATTGCAGAAAAGATAAAGTTAGAGATAAAAATAGAAGGCAATAGTAGTGGTAAAGGATTTGGCAAAAGCTATTTAATTGTAGCAGAGCTGAGAAGGTCTAAATAATTTGCATTTATTTTAACTAAGTTTAAAATAATTCTACTGAAAAATTAAGCAAATGTAATAAATAAAGTATTAATAGTGCATGATGTAGTTATTTGTTGTGAGTTAAGTTAACAACCTGGACAAGAAATAAGATTAATTTGTTGAAATAGATAGTAATCAGTACTGTTTATATTAATATCTATTTGCCAATATGTAATTGATATTTGGTTAAAATTTGTAAGATGTTTACAGATTTTGTCTATAATAATTTTTTTATTATTAAAAGTAATTAGTCATGATTTATATTTTTTGAAAATATTGTATATGTTATATACAAAGAGGTTAGTTTCTTGCTGTTGGTATTGAAGTTTAAGAGAACAATGATGATAATTTTCTATAATAAGATTTTTGAGTTTAGTAAATCAGATCAGTTTTCTGTCTTTAGGCAAATGAAGAATTTTAGTAATAGATATAGTTATTCAAGAAGTATAGTATTGTTTGAGATTCAAAGTTGTTCAAGATAAAGTAGATTTAATCATCTAAGTTAATTTTTAAAGGTTATATATTTGAAATAGTGTTGAAGAATAAGTTCAAGGAGTTGAAGCTAATAATAGATAGTATTTGGTTATAATGTATTACTATTAGCTCTAATAAAGACAGCAAATTGTAGGAATAGTTGAATAATTTTAAAATTAAGAATATATTTAACTTAATTATTAACATTAAGTTAAGGATATTAAAAATGTTTATAGTAGACAAAAATTGTTTTGAAGCTGTTGTAATTTAATATGTATAAAAATATTTAGTAAATAGAGATTATTAATTTGTTGAAAAAAGTAGTAATATGGCATTGTAATTGTATATTTCAAATATTACATATGTTGTATAGATAAAGATAAAGCATTGCACTATTAGAA